CGTAAGTAGCAATATCCTCCTCTGGGGTAGGAATCACCACCACCACGTTTTCCCAATGGCAGTCCTCTTTCACCTGTTCGAGAGCGTCTTCAGTTATCGAGCATATATACCTCGGCATGGGCTCACATCGGCCAGGGACTGAAGAGCGTTTTTCAATTTTGAAATCAGAAGAAAGGTCGCATGAACCGGGGATGCATTCTTCGATGCGTGGATCACCGGCGTTTTATCACCGGCCGACCGCGACGAAGAGGCTTTTTCCTTTTTGGGAACGGATTTAGATGTTTCGTCATGTCTATGTGAGTTCATAAAAAAGAAGAAGAAGAAGCTTGTTGTTTTAGGAAAGGATTGGCAAACGGATTTCGAAGAATTTGCAGAATTGAGAAACTTGATGAAAGTAGGACAACTTTGAAGGTTAAGAAAGGTTTTTGAAAATAAAGTTTGGGAAGATTATGAAGATGATCTATTTATAATATTGCAATAACGGTTCAAGGGCATCAGTGGCCGACCATCAAGTGAAGCTAATTAATGATTTTGAGAACTGTGCAGGCGCGATGCTTCGGTTGCCTCCGCCGCTTACATCACGAGGATGACGTCATAATTAGTCGATGTACGAAATCGAAGACTCAGTTCGTTTCTTTTCATTACACTCTAAGAAACGAGGGGACTATATTTCGAGATCAGAGAACTGCATCGAGGGTCAGCCTCGTAATGGATCAGACCTGAACACGGAGACAAGGTGCCGAGTTCGGGGATCGAGGCACCCGTCAAGATCGAGGTCCCCGGCGATCGAGATCGGATATGACCAGCTTTGAGCGGAACACAACAACGGAAAGCCGAAATATACGTAACCGGTCGGAGATCACGACGGAGATCTCGGAACGGATCAAATCAAGGGCGATTATTTGTATCAATCATGGGATTTACTTCCGTAATTAGAATTGTACCTCAACTAGGATTCCTCTAGTTTATAAAGAGGGATCCCCATCATTTGTAGACACTTTTACATTCATACAGATCAAGGCAATATAATATTTCTTTCTTCTGCTCATCAGCTCACTGCTCTCTAACTATTGTTCTTCAACTGTTGTTCTTTAACTGTTCTTGCTTTACTACTCTTAAGGTTAAATATTCATTAACCAAACATGGAAGATTTGTGTATTGCATATCTAATCTCATTTTGCTCCTGTCATATCTTAACAGAAACAAAATGTTAGAAGAGTTTTCTGTTATAAAATTATTTGAAATTAGTACTGAAATCAGGACTTTAGTGCAGCTGCCTTCTGAAAGTAAACATAGGCAATTAGCCATCACTCTGGACCTTGTATCAAAACTTTGATCAAATTACTTACTTATCCACTATGCTGCCACTTGCCCTTCAAAAAAAAAAAGGTAAAAGAAAAGCCCCGCCTTTTTAAATTTTATTGTGTTTTTGCTCTGTATTTTACTGGGAGTTTCTTGTTTCTATAAGTTTAACACCCTACAAGGCAAATTAATCTAAGAAGCTATACTGTTAATTTTCCATTGCACAGGAAGGATACGGTTTATACTATTTTATTGCAAGTTTTTAGTTGTATAGTAAGGATACATTTTTTCCCTTTCAACCTTTCACCAATCAAACTGTAAAATAAGAAATAAATACATAAGTGGAAAAAGTTGGGAAGAAAACACAGAAAATGATTGATTATAAAATAACTCTTAATTTAAATAAATAAGAAAATATCGGAAGAACACACAATAACTGGTCACCATGGCAAGTCTAGTGAGGTATCAGCCTCCAAAATACAAACAAGATATCAGTAGTAATTACCTAACACAAGCTCTGAATTGTGTTTCATGGCGGACAAATTAGCTCTCCCTCTTCTACTACCAAACCCTCCACCCTCAAAATCTATCTTCCAAGACTCACACCCCCACTTCTCTAACTCCACCTCTCAACCTTTAGCTCCATTCCTAAATGACCTCTTTCACCACCAAAATCCCAACACTTCTCTTACTTCAACTTCCACTTCTTATTCTACCCAGATTCCCCAATCCCCAATTTACCCTTCTCCTATCCCCAGAACTCGACGGCGTATTATTGGCAAGGAGCATGATACCAACAGGGGCAAACCATGGTATCCTCATCGCCTCTCCTCTCAAGGTGAGAAAACTCTTCAAACCCTAATTGACCCGGAATTTCAACTCCAAAATATTAACCAAATTTTGCTCAGTTTATATACTGAGCATCGTTTAGAAAGTTCTGAATTAGATACAGAGTCATTGAGTTTTGATATTTTGGGTATTATTAAAGGTTTAGGTTACTATAAAAAATGTGACTTGGCGTTGAATGTGTTTGAATGGGTTCGAAATCGACCCGATTCTGGGGATTTGTTAAATGGGTCTGTTATTGCTGTGGTTATAAGCATGCTCGGGAAAGAGGGTAGGATTTCAGTGGCATCATCATTGCTTCATAATTTGCATAAAGATGGTTTTGGTATCGATGTTTATGCATATACTTCTTTAATTACTGCGTTCGCGCGTAATGGGAGGTATAGGGACGCGGTTAATGTTTACAAGAAAATGGAGGAGGAAGGGTGTAAACCTACTTTAATTACTTACAATGTGATTTTGAATGTTTATGGGAAAATGGGTATGCCTTGGAGTAGAATTTTGGGTGTTTTTGAAAGTATGAAGAGCTCCGGAGTTGTTCCTGATGCTTATACTTATAATACTCTTATTACTTGTTGTCGTCGGGGATCTTTGTATGAGGAAGCTAGGCAGATTTTTGAGGAAATGAAATTAGGAGGTTTTCTGCCTGATAAGGTCACGTACAACGCGTTGTTAGATGTTTATGGGAGGTCTAGGAGGCCGAAAGAAGCTATGGAGGTTTTGCGAGAGATGGAGGTAAATGGGTTTTTGCCTAGCATTGTGACGTACAATTCATTGGTATCTGCTTATGCTAGGGATGGTCTGTTGGAGGAAGCGATGGAGCTGAAAGCCCAGATGACGGATAAAGGGATTAAGCCTGATGTGTTTACGTATACCACCTTGTTTTCCGGTTTTGAGAAGGCTGGGAAGGATGAACCGGCAATGAGAATATTTGAGGAGATGACAAGTGCAGGTTGTAAACCAAACATCTGCACTTTCAATGCGCTTATTAAGATGTATGGAAACAGGGGAAAATTTGCTGAAATGATGAAGGTTTTTGATGATATCAAGAAGTGTGGTTGTTCCCCTGATATTGTCACTTGGAATACTCTCCTAGCCGTATTTGGGCAGAATGGAATGGATTCAGAAGTCACTGGAGTGTTCAAAGAAATGAAGAGAGCCGGATTTGTAGCTGAGCGGGACACCTTCAATACCTTAATTGGTGCTTACAGTCGTTGTGGGGCTTTTGATCAAGCTATGGTCGTTTACAGGCGAATGTTAGATGCAGGGGTCAATCCGGACCTCTCCACCTATAACGCTGTTCTAGCAGCTTTGGCTCGGGGCGGGCTGTGGGAACAGTCTGAAAAAGTACTTGCAGAAATGAAAGATGGTCGTTGTAAACCCAATGAGCTAACATACAGTTCTTTGCTTCATGCGTATGGTAACGGGAAAGAGATTGACCGGATACATGCACTTGCAGAAGATATATACACTTCTGAAATCCAACCTCATGCTATTCTTCTGAAGACCCTTGTACTAGTTTATAGCAAAAGTGATCTTCTAGTGGAGACTGAACGAGCTTTTTTGGAGTTAAAAAGTAGAGGTGTGTCTCCAGACATAACCACATTAAATGCCATGCTTTCAATTTATGGTCGGAAGCAAATGGTTACAAAGGCAGCTGAGATCATGAACTTCATGAAGGATACTGGTTTCACTCCTAGCTTGACAACTTACAATAGTTTGATGTACATGTACAGCCGGTCCAGCAATTATGAGAAATCGGAACAACTACTAATGGAAATTATAGGAAAAGGAGTCAGGCCTGATGTTATTTCGTACAACACAGTGATATATGCTTATTGCAGAAACGGTCGGATGAGAGATGCCTCACGAATATTTACAGAAATGAAGGATTCTGGAATTGTTCCTGATGTGATCACATATAATACCTTTGTTTCAAGGTACGCAGCTGATGCAATGTTTATTGATGCCATTGAAGTGGTTCGTTACATGATCAAGCAAGGTTGTAAGCCAAATGATAGCACGTATAACTCCATTATAGATTCATATTGTAAACTCAATAGAAGAGATGAAGCTCTAGCTTTTATTAACAACCTCCGTAAGCTTAATCCTCATGTTTCTAAAAAGGAAGAGACTAAATTATCAGAGCGATTGATGAAGAAATGAGTTCTCTTTTTTGATGGAATCACAGTTTAGTAGCTATAGCGTTTTGCTGTATTTATCTCTTCCATTTTCCTTGTTATACTTGTATGCTGCGAAAATATGAGCAGTGTGCTAATTGTTGTATATAGAACTTTTATTACAATCTACTAGACCTTTATTAGAACAGATTCACCTGGTTATGCAATGATGAAAGTTTTGAGCTTTGTGATGTTATGGGGTGTGTAGGTTTCGCACTAAGGGGATAAACCTTAATTGCTAAGGTATTATTGGCTCTTAGCTTTTAGATTTAGCATAAATGTATGCTGAGGATGTATCTGTTGTTTAATTGAGATTCTGGCAGCAGTTTAAAGACAATTCTGCGCATATTTTTCATTGATGAAACTGCACAACTGCGGTTTTTACTTTTGGTTGGTTTAAGGGTTCAACCTATTTATATAGTGCAGAGTACATTGGTTGTTTCCCACTTTTTACGTCATCGTCGATTATTGTTCCGTTTGGTTTTGAAACTTTACAGGCGTTGGCTACTTTGCATGATCATGCTCAAGTCTATATATGGCTAGAAAAAGTAAACCCTGAATATGACCGGCTATTTGTGTAAAATTATTTACCTCCATTAGTTAGTATTAAGAGCCAAAAGAGAAAGAAGGCACAATCCAGCTAACTAAACAAAACAGAAAGAAGGCACAATCAATCTGAAAGGAAGGCCATCTGATCTCAGATTATTCAACTTTTTGCCCAGCAATATATAACAAAACCTGGAATTTTGAGAGGGAACTCCCCTTATACCTAGAAACAATAGGTAATGCAAGCAACAAAGATAGAATTAACGGAAAGCAGTCAGCTCAAAATCACTGGCATCCTTTTACACTATTTATCTCAACGCACAATCTCTCTGAAACGATAAAAACAATGGGTTTGGTCAGATGCTAAACTGAACTTGTGCTCTCAGCCTCATTCAATCAGCCACCCATAACTCCGGTTTATCTACATCAAACCTGTAACTCTCCATGTAATGTGTTGTTTAGATCACTGTTTCTCTATACAAGGCTCATTATATACTGAATATACGACGCTCTTGTTTAGATCACTGTTCCTCTTTTGGCTGTTTAAAAAACTCCAATCACTTGGTTCTCCTCAGCATCTTCTGAATTATATGAGAATACGTCTACTGGTGCGGTGATAGAGCCAAGAGTGCCTTTGGAGTGGAAAGATTCTCTTTGGTGATCAAGATAGATCACAATAACTGTTATATCATCGTGGAAATGGCGCCTAATCCCCTTTTCTATCTTCTGTATGTCCTTGTACCTCATCTCCCTCTTCTTAGCAGCCTCCTGAATCGCTGCTCGCACCAGTCTCTTAGCTATTCCCTGCAATTACATCAACCAAAAAATAAACAGGATGGGTCATACAACTATCTTGACTCTGAAATCTACTAAGCAAGCAACTTGCCTCAAGTCGATCTGCAATAGACCAACAACAACAACAAACCTAGTTTAATCTCACAAGTGGGGTCTAGGGAGGGTAGTGTGTACGCAGACCTTACCCCTACCTTGTGGAGGTAGAGAGGATGTTTCCAATAAAGCCTCGGCTCAGGAAAAGCATAGTCGATCTGCAATATGCATAAATGCACATCTTTCCATTTACTTCGCAAGGGAATCGAGAATGAAAGAATGGGAAACTTACAGCTCTTGAGTTTTTAGAGACTATTTCCACAGCTACTTGATCAGTTAAGTGTTCCCAGAGGCCATCAGAAGCAAATATCAGGAATAAGTCATGAGGCCTAATACTTCGTGTAACAATAGAAGGCTCAGCTGTTAGTACAGGCCGTTTCAGAGGTACAAGATTTCCATATCGTTGGGATATAGGATCCCTGTTAAATTCAGGTTTCTTCAAATAGGCATCTCCAATAGATCTTGAGACCTGCAAATTACAAGGTTTATAAGTCGGTATGTTCCTAACATCAGAGAAAGGGGACAAAAAAGCTACAAACAGAATGCAGGCATTCCTTGTTAGTTCTATCAGCAGAAAACAAACAAAACTCTAGTTCTAATTAGTTAGAGAACCTTCACAAGAATCCAGAGCCTTCTATGATGGCTAAGAAGTAAATGAAACGGATAACTATTCAATGAAATCACGACTCTTTGCTTTACAAAATCTTCATCCACGTCTCATGTTAGGGAACACGGCTTCCTCTAAGCTTGAACTGCATGAAACAGTGGACCAAGAGGCAAAGTGTGTGATTCCTGGAACATTAGGGAAGATTGTAAAGCCTTAAGAACAAATTCAACAGAGGAAGTCATGATGCTTTAATAAAGCAGAAGATGATATACAAAGGTAAAGCAATATGGGAATAGGATACATAATAAACACCAAATACAACAAACTCTTATACAGTTAGAACACATATAAATACTTAAGTCATTCATCAAAAGACAAATAGGTTGGCTAAGTAAGTACAGAACAACTGAACAAGTAAGATAACCTGAATTATGCCTTTAATTCTCCAAACACCTCGATTGTAAACCACAACAGCTTGATCATCAGGATGAAGTGATTCAACTTCTTTTCTCACTTTTTCACATGAAACATTATGATCAGTCGACAACCTTTCTGCAACCACAGAATTCGTCTCCCCTTCAAAACCTCTGCGTCCAAGAACTGCCCTCGAATCCCCTAAATTAGCCACGTACAATTCACCCTCAGAAATTGCACCAACCAAACAACATGATCCAACTGAAGCAATCTGTGGCATTACAAGCAATGATCTCTTCACCAATTGAATAAAATCCTCTTCTGTAGCATTAAAGGCCCTCTTTATCACATCTGATGACAAACCCCCTTGCTCTTTCGAAAATTCTACACAAAATTCAAAACAAACAGCTCAGAAAAGCAACAAAACTTAATCTTGTACAAAGGAGCAACCTTAAAGCTTTTTGAACATAATTTTCAGAAACAAGATGTGACCCACAAAATATATGACATGAAAAACATAAAAACCAGGCAAAATAGGTACATTTCAAGAATCCACAGACATAGCTTAATCTTGTACAGTCAGACCCCTCTATAACAACATACTTATATAACAACACTTCTCTATAAAAGCCAAATTTTTCCGGAACCAAATCTCATGTTCTATTATAATATATGTTTTCTATAACAACAATTCGCTATATATAACATCCAAATTTATCCGAAACAAACGAGACTGTTATAGAGAAGTTTGACGGTATAAAGGAGAAACCTTTAAGCCTTTTTAGCAGAAATTGTAGACACAAGAACTGACCCACAAAAGCATAGGACATGAAAAGCTTAAAACTCAGGCCAAAAAAAGAAAATAAGAAAACAACGTTACTACAAGAATCCATAGACATAGCTTAATTCTGTATAAAGGAGCAACCTTTAAGCTTTTTGAGCCGAAATTGCAGAAACAAGAACTGACCCACAAAATTATAAGACATGAAAAACTGAAAAATCAGGACTAAAAAGACAAATAAAAGAAAATAACGTATACTCCAAGAATTCACAGACAACCTAATTTTGAATATAGAGGAGCAACCTTTTAGCTTTTTGAGCAGAAATTGCAGAAACAAGAACTGACCCACAAAAGTATATGACACAAAAAACTGTAAAATTTTGCCAAAAAAGGAAAATAAAAGAAAAAAGACGTACTATGCAAATAAGAGAAGAGGTGTCTATTGACAAAACGGGAGGCTTCAGGACCACCATGGCCATCATAAACACCAACATAAGTAGCAGAAGGAGAAGTGAAAACTTGGCTTTGGTCTTCAAGTGAAGAATTCGCTTGAACTACAGCAATTGAGAAATCACCAGAAGCATGTGGCTTTAAATCCATATGCCATAAAAGCCCATCTCCGTTTCTTCTCCCAAAACACCTCTCTAATGGTCGACAACACGATCGCATCATCATACTCTTAATTCTCTTCTCTCCGCTACTAGTACAGTCTCACAAAGCAAAACAAGTTTTGATTAAAATTTTACAACCACACAATTGTGCATATAACCAGCTCTATGAATTAGAGTTGAGAGGAAGTATCGGAAAAGTAGCGCGTTGAAACTTAGAAAAGCAGAACTAAAGATACGCTACACCCACCCCTTCACGCGTTTCACTTTATACGAAATATACTCAATTAGTCTTTCTACTAATGATAAAAGAACGCAATTTTGGTTATGCAACTTTTCCAAAACATTTATATGATACCCATCACGGAGGGCGGGCTAACAAGAGCGGGTTAAGTAGGTATGACAGACTTTTAGGCTGACAAGCTCATGAAGAAGAAGGAGTGCATATGTTATCTTAGTCGAAACCCATTATCGAAATGGGAGAAGAAGTGAAGAGTTTTATAAGGCATAACACAAGTTTACCTGCGTTTTTGTGGCTCGAGGTGGCATAGCCCAAAAAGATAAATCTTTGCGGGTTCAAAGCGAACAATACGTACCATGGGATCTTGACAATTTCATTACCATCTATAGTTGTGGTGAAACGGTAATTATCCTTTTGTTTATATGCTTTACCTCAAGGTGAATTTTCAAATTAGTTGGGTGTCAAAGTGAATACGAGATAGAAGACCAAAATAGAAAGAAGAAATTTTCCTAAAATAGTTGGGTTGGCAAAGAATTATTTGTTAGTTTCTATGGTTCTATAAACATGTTACAAAGAGAAGAATCGAATTTAAAATAAAATTATTTTTAAATATAAAAATGTATCAATTTTTTTGCAACAGATTTATGGTGAAATAGTGTTACATGAGATGGAACAAAAAATACTTCTTTTACAATACTCTACTATTGTCCTTAAAATATTCTCAATATTGCAATAACTAACTAAATACATTTTATATTAGAAACTTTTCTCAAAACTTTATCAAGAAGTTGTCCGAACTGAAAATGCACTTAGCAAAATAAGACCTTTTTTTTCGTGTTGTTAGTAGTTAAATTGTTAAACCCAAAAAGAAAAATGTTAAAAGAGATTACTATATTGAGTCTGAACGTATGAAACAAGGCAACGCGCTAAATGTGAAGAGTTAAACCGAGAATATATGATTGTGTATTCTTCTTCTTTTTCTTCTTTCTAAACAAGATAGACGTTTACTTGGAGTTGAAATTTCAGGTCAAATTTCTCTTTTCCCCGTCTTTACGTTACTACAATAATAATCCCGCAATAGAAAATGACTCAAATATATAGTTGATTAATGCTATTTTCTTTTCTCTTTTCCGTTTTGTCCGTTCACACTTCACACCATAGATAAGCCTTGTTAGCCACGTTTTCTTGAATAACATTGAGGATATAGACACGCGGGTAGTTAAGTAGTTATAGTGTAGAGAGTAATTATCTAATCTATGGATTAGTTAGTTTAGGCGGTTAAAACAATGTATTAATACTGTTGCTTCCTTCTTCAATACAATTGTTTACTCTAAAATCCGAGTAGCAATTAAATTTGTTTTGTGGTCTTAAAGATACGTGATTTAGTCCAATACTAACTAATAACCAAGAAATCAAGCGTATAAATTAAAGAAGTAAGTTGAATCAAACCAGTGCTTAAGCAAGTCTTGACCTCGAGTTACGAGGACCTCGGGGTAGGTCAATAAGAACAGTAAAGTAAGGACAATAAAGTTAAGAGACAATTCTGATGAGTAATGAGCAAGAAAGTAAGAGTGTATATTCTTTTACCAAATGATTGATTGTGTGTTACAAATGATTGGAGTCCCCTTTATATAGGGGAATCCTAAATAAGGTACAATTCCAATTGTAGTAAGGAATCTTACTATACAACTTTCTAACCGCCTAGTACAAATCCGTTCCCAAAATTTACGCTGTGATTTTAGGGCTACCGCGCGAATCTCGCTCTTTCTGTTATAAAACCATAACGGTATTATCTCGAGGTTGATCATACTCGGCCCCGGTATTCATCGAGCACTTTGATCTTCGAGCCTCATATTCTGCATTCGAGCTCGAGCTCGGTTCATATTGAACTTGTTCCCGACGTGACACCTCGAGCCTACAAAATCGGGGGCACATGATTTTGACCGTATACAAATAGTCCCCGCATTTTCTTAAAATATAATGATAAGAAATGACTTGAGCCTCGATTTCTGGAGTCCTTGGTGATGACGTCATTCCCGTGACGTAGGCGCTCGAAGTGACCAAAACGTCTCGTCGATTCGCTTCCCCAAAACATTAAATGCTTCACCAGTGGTGGTCGGCCATTAGGGCCGTTGAGGCGTCGCCGCTTAACTATAAATACAAGGTTTTATTTCGGAAAAAGACTTTACTTCAATCTTCAAACCATCCCAAACTTCTTTTATATCTCCCTCTCTTCATCTCTTCTATCTCATTACCCATTACTCCCATTCTTTTTAGTGTCAGAAAACACCAAACTCCGCCTATTTCCACTCCGTCTAACTCGAACCAATGGAGAAAACTTCAATCAGTTCCTCAAAAGGAGAAAGCTTCCTCCTCCTCCTCCTCCTGGCCGGCCGGTGATAAAGCACTGGCCCTTCACGAGATCATTCCTGGCCCCTACGTTATAAAGAAAGACTTCAGAGTTGAAAATCCCCCCGCAATTCCAGGTCGATGCGAGCATGTATCGAGGTATATCGGCTTGATAGTGGAGAAGCACCTCAAGGCCATGAAGAAGGAATGTGGCTGGGGGAACAAGGTCGTGGTACAGATCCCTGCCCCCTAGGAAAGTATTACTACCCATGCGGAGGGGTTCTTAAGTGTTTACACTTACCCCTTCACGTTGGGTCCCCTTGATCCAATTGTGATCGACTTCTACAAGAGGTATCAGGTCACCCTCGGCCAAATCCATCATTCTTTCTGGCGTATAGTGATTATGCTTCGCTATTTCTCCAGCAAGGCCGAGGGGCTAGAGTTCACCCTCAACCACCTCATCCGATTGTATCAGCCTCAGCTTTTCCGAGGGTTGATCAAGCTCCAATGCTGATCGAGCAAGGCCTTCTTCGCTAGCAATGATAATGATAAGGACCAGGGCTGGATGAGCCGGTTCGTGTGGGTAGGACCTCAGACGTCATCCCAGAGGGAAAAATGTCGTTCCTAGAGAAATGGAACCCCGACCGTAAATGAAGTCCTTTTCTCAGTATCCTCTTATATTCTGTCTTCGCATTGTGTGATGCCTTCACTTTTTTGCAGCAGTTGCTTGGATGCCCCATGCGATCCCCGACCTTGAAGACTGGGTCCAGAAATTAGTTGCGACCTCCTCATATGACGAGTGCAAATGGCGTGACTTATCGAGGGGAAAATGGTAGGCCAAACACCACGGTAAGTCCTTCTCCCAAGTGTTTGACGCTTTCCCCTTTATTGGAAATGTCACATATCTTTATTCATGTAGGTATTGGAGATGCCTCTGAAATGAGGCCAACCCCTCTCGGAGAAGAGACCGAGTCCCCAATTCCAAATTGGGGAAAGATAACAAAAGAAAAAGGTCTTCGAAACTCGAAGACCCCCAAGACAGGAGGGCCCCTACTCGAAGGTTAAGGAGGAAACTCATTCACGTGGACATAGAATCAGTCCATCAACCGAATGATGAAGAGGAAGACGAGCGCGAAGAATCGACGCTGGTGACCCGAGCCAGGAAGCCAGTTGAAGCCGTCAAGCCCTCTGAACCGGAGACCCTGCCTCGTGGTGAGGAGGCTCCGAAGTAAGGTGTAGGAAAAACCCCCGAATCACCTAAGGTCGAGATCGTTCCTCCGCCTCCAACAAGCATACCAAAAGGGACAAGTATCGAGATACCTGGATTTGAACAGAGCGCCCCGAGCGACATACTCGGGGCCATGACAATAGGTCACTCTCCTCCTCTGCCAACTTATTCTGAGGAGGCAATAAGGGAAGCTCAAGCTCTGCAAACTCCTGACCCAAGCGGGGTCATCGGTGAAGAAGATCCTTTCCGGGATTGCTTTACTGGGGTCGATGATGCCGCCGACCTCAACGATGCATCTACACCGTCTTTTCTCTCGGGTAAGCATTAACTCCTATCGCTGTAATTTCTTATTTTCCCCTGGCACTAACGGATATCTCTTTTTCTGTGTAATCCATTACCAGGTTTAGGGCCGAGCTGAGACAATGTGAGGCCGAGCTCAAGAATTCCTCGAATGAAGGGAAGTCCCTGAGGCTACTTTGCATCAAAAGGAGGAAGAGCTCAAGGACCTTCAGGAAGATTTGGCCAAAGCTCGTCAAAATGAGGACGAGCTAGACAAGCAGGTAACCATCATTTTGCAAGTGTATGGTCTACTGACCCAACTGTGGAGGCTAACACCGTAGTGTCTCGGCTGCAACAAAAATTGGAGATGATCGGGCAGCTTCGAGGGAAGGTCGATCAGGTTAAGGCTGACTGCAACCGGTGGAAGGAAAGTATGGAGCGACTTGCTGCTGAGAAAGAGGCTGCCTTAGTCAAGCTGGTCTCGGCTGAGACCCAGCTCCGAGGTGCTAAAGAGAAAAATTTGGCCCAGGCAAAAAAGATCGATGAGCTCGAGGCCAAACTTGCCGCTGCCGGAGCTGAAGTTGCTGAAGTCAGGGCCGAGGCCGAGAAGACGAAGGCCACAGCTGAGAAAACCGTTGCTGTGTACTTAAGGGATGCTGAGGCTGCTCAAATGGAGCTAAGGGAAGCCTCTGACCCGAAGAAACGGAGCAATGATTTGGCCAAGTGCCAATCCCGGAGGGAGACCCTCGAAGAGATCCATGCTCGAGGTTTCGTCCTCACCGAGGAGATAGCACAAGCAAAAGCGCTCGAAGCTGACGCCAAGTTTCTCATCTCCTCTAACGATGATGACAATGACGAAGGCAGCCAAGGCGGGTCCGATAATGAAGTTGGGCCCGAAGATGGAGCTGCTCCTGAGGGGGAGGCCAGCCTTGGGCATAAATAGGATTTTCCTTTCTCTTTCTATATTTTTCTTTTTGTAAGACCTTTTATCGGTCTCTTGTATATATCTATTTCCAAGTATATAAAAGAAGAATTTCCTTGAACGTTTTCTCGATGTTTCCTGCCTTATAAAATTCTTGTAATGACTTCATTCTTTGAACTGTGTGTTTAAGATTTTATCTCAGATGCTTTCTTCGAAATTGCCGTGGTCGAGTACGAATAAGATTCGAACTTTGGGGCATAGACCCTTACGAGCTCGTGCCAGATAATGGTGACTCCCCGAGC